AATTCTACGTGGTCCTTATGGACATCATTATATGGCACTACGGTGCAATTCTACGGGGCACTTCGGTGCATTTATACGAGCTGTGGTGACAGCATAGTGCACAACCTCTATAGACTCACATATCGATAGTTCTCACATATGTACATGAGCTAATCCAGAGATATGAACAAATATAATTTAGTGGTATGATAAATGCTATAGAAATGATATGATGTTGTGTGTGTATAGTGTTTGATTGAAAAAGTATGTGATTATATGATAAACTGTTAATGATGAATTATGTGTATGTATGTATTTACTGCAATTAATCTGATATGATTTTATACGATATGAAAAATGCATGGAATTGCTATAACATGATAGAACAGAACATGCATGTATCAATATATGTTTTAAAGTGCATTATAAGTTGTTATGCCTCACTAAGTCTTCGACTTAGCGTGTGATTGTTTCACACGTAGGTTTCGAGAAAAGTAAGGAGTGATGCGGAGCAAGACAGGTCAGTTTTCCTTACCAAAAGATCAGATCAGAAATATTTGACAAAGTATGTATTTGGTTATGTATAAAGTGTTGGCATGTAATAAGTCATTAAGTACGAGCACTCTGATAAAGTCTTTATTTTGATTTAAATAAAGTTTTAAATTTCCCGGGATTTTTCTTAAGAGTCAAGGTTTGAAAAGTCAATGTGACACTTCGGACTCATATCCGGGTCGGATACGAGTTGGGGGTGTTACAACCATAAGGCGTGAGCTCCAGGAGCAATCCACTATCCCATGCGGAGGTGAAAACCACACGAGGGCATAGTCTCTCGCTCCTACTTAATTTGGACGGAGCGGGGTTTTAGCTCATGTCATGAAAATGCAGCTGTGCAGTGTGTGAGGAAAAGCAAAAAACAAACAATAAAAACACTGAAAATCAAATCCCAAAACACACAATTATTCTGAAACCATTAGCAAACAGATCAGTACATTTATTTAATTGTTAATCGAATTAAATTAAAAAACCAAAATACAAACAAAACTTATTAAAAACCAAACAAGGGATCAAAAACCAAATTAAAATGAATTTATAACTTTCAATTGCAAAGACAATTAATTAATCGACTATCGGTCTGACTCTAAAAAAAAATCCTCAGTGGAGTCGCCAAGCTGTCGAAACGATTTTTCTTAAAAGGTGAGATTTAAAAACCACATTAATTCTTAATTATCCTCTTTTTAATTTAAAAACAAAATGCGATTTAAAAGACCTCTCGTTTCGAAAAATTTTGGATTTCTTTTACGATCGAAAAATACGGTTCGAAGAGTCACCACCAATCTTTAATTAGGGTGTGATTGGGCACCCAAAAAACTGTCATTTTAAATAAAAATTAATTTTAATTAAAACATCAAATTGAGGTTTGCGTTACCAAAAAATGAGTTCGGGAGTCGGTTACGTGTGGGGAAGGATTAGCACCCCCATAACGCCCTAAATCGGTACCTAGTCGATTAATTAACGTCTTTGCAATGAACTTTACAAATTTGAACTTAATTTGGCTTTTGATCCCATAAAAAAAAAGATGTAAATTTAAAAAAACATTCAAAAGCACTCAAATAAATTAAATTAAAATAACCAAGTCGTTTTAGAAAGATAAAGAATGTTCGATTATTTACAAATATCGAGACCAGATCTTAAAAGCTATAACAACCTTTTCTCGATAAATTTAAATAAACGAATATTTCCTTTTCTTTCGTTCCCAAATTTTAGGTGACGAATCAATTTTTTTGATTTCATTTTCGGGATACACTTTTAACTTAAAATCGTCAAAACGGCCCTCTAATCAGTTAAGACAAGCCACTCAGGACAATTTTAAATTAAAAGTGTATTACCCTTAATCCAATTATGTAATATGTCGAGTTATGCACATGAGGTTACCATGCGAATCGTGGAAAAGGATGTCATGCCAAAATCAATCAAATAAAATTAAAATATCATACAACGTGACATACAAAAAAAATTAAATACATATAATTTAATTAAAATTATAAACTATGCATATTAACATATAATGTATAAGTGTGACTTAAATACAAAAATAAAAACCAAGCATATCAACTACGAAAAAAATTGTACTTATTAAAATATAGACTACATAATATTGAATAGAAACTTTAACACCATAATAACAAACAAGATAATAAATGGTGTGGAAATGAACACATTATACCATACAAGATTTTTAAACTAAAATAATAATAATAAAAAAAACCCTCATTTTTACAAAGGACTGAAATCAGAATAAATCCTAAATATACATGGGATTAAAAAGAAACATGCAAAAATCTATAATTCAAATGTTTAAACAACAACAATTAAAGAAATTACTAATCCGGACTAAAATTAAATGAAGTGGAAATTAAACATATATATCAATAATTAGAACAAGGATTAAAATAAAAATGAGCTTAACTAGTAAGGGTACCAAAAAGAATTTATCCAAAAGAATAACAAACAACACTGAAAAATAATGACTTTAGGACAAATAAAAAGGTAAAATTCGAATATAGATTTTACAAGTGACTGAAATACAAACACGCTAAAATATGAAGACTAAAACATAATTTTATCTTTGTATTTGGTGACCAAGAAATAATTAACCCAAAATTACTAAGATATATATATATTAAACTAAACCTAATATTAAACTAATCCTAATCTACTTCACGCAGGAAACCCCTCCTGCCACTCAACTTCACTCTCCACTCTCCATTTCAACTTTCCTTTTCTTCTCGATGGAAACAGGGGCCAAAATCCATGGCCACCCACCTTCAACCGAGACGCCATTATCGCCGTTCTATTTTTCTCCAGTCTTTCTCTGGATCGCTATTCTATTTTTTAATTTCTCAAGACCTAACCTCTACTCTTACAAATGATGGATATGCTCAAAGAACTCACCAATTGGCTCCAAAAGGTAAACACTAAACCTTCTAATTTACCTCTATTTTTCATTTTAAAATTCCGAAAGATGGGAACTAATACAAATAATCTACATGCAAGGCTCTCCGAATAATTCTCAATGCTTCAGTATTAATCCTGGTGACTCAAATCGATAAGCTTCTAACTCTTATTTTCTTTCAAAACAAATACAAAACACACACAAATAGTTGCTAGAAAGTAAATAAAATAAGATAAAATACCTCCTTGTTAATGCTATCCGTTTCTGGTTGTTGAAAATATTATTGCCCTTTTGTGAATGATTAATGCTTTCCTTCGAATGGAACCATGAAATCGGAAAAAAAAATTGTTTCATTTTATTGTTTCCAGAATGCTAAACCATAAAAAATTTACAAACAAAATCTTCTTTTTCTTTTCTGTTCTATGTGTTTTTTTCTCGTTTTTACTCTGTACTCTCCTTTTCTCTATGTCCCCATCCTCCTTTCTTTAGAACTGCCCACCCTCCAATTTATATCCCCTCTATCCCATGAAAACTGAAAACCCCCCCCTTTTTGTTAACTCCCGATAACCATTTTTTTTTGTTTTCCAGGAAGTATTCATATGGGCTGGAAATTATTCTGCAGGATCACTGGGCTTGAGTTGGGCCTTCAACTGGTCTGCTTCGGGTCTGCCCCGACATAACCCCGAACAAATCGAGTATCTACAGATATCTTATCTGCAACTAAAATAAGATTTTTTTTTTATAAATTCTAAATTTAATTTTAATCTTATTTAGAGGAGAAGAGAAAATGAACTATATGAGAAATAAGGGAAGTGCTTATAGTAAATCTTAAACTCATAATCTAAAGAAATATAAAGGAATAAAGATGACTAGCTTAACCAATCGATCAAATATATTTCCTCATATTGAACTAATTAACTAAAACCATTACAAGTAAAATATATTTATAAGACAAGGAGAAATATTAAAAACTGAACCAATAAACTTCGTCCATGCATCTAATCTCCTTTTGTTTTTATGAACAATTTCTAAAGAGAGGGAGAAGAAACATTTTTTGTTTTTAATGAGTATTGAACCTCATAATTTAGAGGACGAGGAGATATCAACCAATAATTTTTAACTATTTTTCCTATGGGTTGTTGACAATACCAATCTCATTAGAAATAGTAAAAGGAACACACACTCATTTAATAAATAGAAAAAAGACAATTGAGGAGATTCTCACATTTAATGTGATTTACATACAATAAAATAATCATTGTTAGAGAATAAAACAAATCAAACTCTGGACATCACTTGCACGTTGACTCCGTTGTGCATCAGATGACGATGAAGAAGGCACTGCTTGACATTATTTTATGCTGCTCAGTCCCCCGCTACCCCCGCACACTTGCAGCACAACCAGGTCCAACATATTCAAATCCGGTTCAGCCCATAAACAAGTCAGCAAAAGCGATAATATTTCTTTACTTGTGTCTATTCTGAACTTGATTGACATTTTGTTATTATATATATTTGCCCATTTTATGTGAAAACTAGATGGACATTTAGCCGAAATCCTTTCGATTTTTACAGCTCCCCCCTGGTTTGGAGTTTGGACAGTGTCCTCCAAAGAGATCTACTCGGCCCCCCTATGTTCGTTTGAGTAGCTTCAATATGTAATGGCTTTTGCCTCCTTTTATAATTCCAAAACAAAAAAACAAAAAAACATAGCAATGATGTAATATATAAAGCTGATATGATGATGTAGAATTAATTAGAAATTTATTTGATTCGATGGATGCCAACCCGGTTTTGGAGGGTCTCAACTTTTAAACCGGCATTGACCAAAATTAGAAACCAATTGAATCTTTTTTCAGGAACTAATACAAAATCTATTTGGACACGCATGTGTTTATTTTGTTTCTGAACATGATAAGATCCGAAGACAGACTGGTTTAGGAAATTGGTTATTTTGGAGAGAATATATTGTATATGATGAGGTTCTTCAGTCTGCAGTTTACGCCATTTGCATGTCGGGTGTAAGCCCTTTTAGTTTGGGTATAGATGGCGTTAAGAAAATAAAAAGAGTAGCAGATGGTATCAAATTCGTCAAATAGTAAAGGCCCACTTAGACCTAACCATTTCTGAACACATCCATCCAACTGGGTTGACAACAGGTCAGGGATGCGACTGATTCGGTCCGCTGCTCCAATCTTATTTCAAACAGTTTAAGATGTGAGAAAAAGTGGCAAATGATAGAATAAATATATTGCAAAATTAAATGAACATTCATCCAGCCCCTATATCCAATTCCCACCACCTCAATTAGTAGTTAATTTAGTAGCCCTCTTGACTCAAAAAAGCTACTAGGATTGAACACTGCACTGTAGTTGGATCCAAGTTAAAACGATATCACATCCTAGTGGTTATGGTTAGTCATCATCTGATAAACAAATAATGTCACTCGCTCCTCCACTTTGCGCTGATCTAGACTGACTATTGGCATGTCAGATTCCCGATGTAACCTTGTACCCGACCTTGAACTACTATTTGGCAGCAAAAAGCCTGGGGTATTTGCATTGGGACCTGATGGATTGTTTACGCCCTTTAAAACATCCAATGAAGGTAAACGAGGGTTTGGCAGAGCTGTCAACCCTCTGGCAATTTCATGTTGGGTCCGACCAGATTGGCCTGTAGTTGATGCCTGCCTGTCTGCAAGGGCGTTAACATTTGACTGGCACAATGACATAGAAGCTGCAGGGTGGTTATTATGTGCCTGCTGACTTGACATTCCACCAGAATGCAATGGGATACTACTTGGGGAAATGGACGATGAAGGCCTAAATGGCTGTAAATGTGGGGCAGGAGCACGAATTTCAGTGCCTGTTTGAAGGTTTCCTGTGGAAGAATAGATTGTACTGATATGGAGAGGTCTAGTCGGAGTGCCTGATAATAATGTCGAAGGGTTATCAACTTCCAGAGGTGGACCCATGATGTGTGCATTGACTACAGCAGAGGAAACAGTTGGCATACTAGAAGCTGAACCACCTGTTGAAGGCTGTTGAGGGAGACCAGAAGCAGTGGAAGGCTGTTGTACCACCTGTTGCGATGAAAGTTGAAACAGCTGCTGCAAGAAACTAGAATTTGCCTCTGCAGAAGGAGGGAAAAACTAGTCGGTCATTTGTATAATGAAACATCGCAGAAAGGAAAATCTTTGCATGATACATACAAGGCATGCATTCTCTTTAGATTTGCAATATGACAAGCCGCAGTAAAAACTGCCTCTAAATTTTCTCAAGTGACAAGCTATGCCATGTCCCACAAAAATCACTCAACAGAACTGTGATTGTTCAGGTACCCTAATGTGACCAAGCAGCAATGCATGGGGAAAAAAAAGATAATCGACTAAAATACTATATTCTTATACTGAACTCTGTTAAAATTGCCAAGTAAATGCAAGATTCACCTTGCATTGCTCCCGCTGAACCAGATGCCCTATTGTCCATACATTTAGACCTGAAAGCCTCAGCCAAGATCTTACTCAAGAGAACCTTACTGTAATTTACATCAAGCTCCTTTATCTGGAGAAGAAATTCTGCTTCTTTCTCCTTGTGTTTAACATCGTACTTTCTACGAATCGGAGCTACAAACTCCTCAATCTCCTTGTCACATTCCAATTTCAGTTGCAGCTTCTGCTCAAAAGAGATGAATTTTTCAGCAGAAAGTAAGCTATATGTCCCTTAAGTAGATAAGCAAACAAGTAAACAGAACAACCGTGTCTTTATAAACCTTGGTGGTTTGCTCTTTTTCTTTCGTTATTCTTTCCATTTCATTTTGAAGTGGATCATGACAAAAAGTCATAGGCATCCGAGATGAAACAGCAGGTGCAGTACGCAAGGGAAGGCCATTAGAAGAAGAAGGGACTGGAGCTGACCTCACAAGCCCATCAATTGGTGAATCCAGAGGCTGCAAGACATCTTGATTGGAGAGCTCAATATGGTTTGCTATTGGTTGCCTTGGAGCCTGAGAACTTTGGTTGGAAGTTTGGCCTTCATTGTTTGATGGATGTTCAACTGCACTAGCAGAAGGTATATCAGGAGGAGAGAGTTTAGAAATTGATTCAGATGATCTCAGCTGCTGCATTTGCTCTGAAACTTCCACAACAGTGGCATCAGGATTGGACACGTTGCAAGTAACATCAATGGCACCATCAAATGTTGAATTTTCAGCTGCCAGAGAAGCATTTTGCATTTCATTGTTTGCAATGCAACTTGCATGTACTTCAGAGGAAGCATATAGAAGAGAATCGACATTAGCCTGCCCAAATAAGATACTGTTACTAGATTGGCAGCTCGCCATAGCAGGGTATTGGAAGTATGATCTCTCTAAATCTCAAAACAATCTCCTTACCACAAGATCAAATTAACCACAATGTAGTGTAGGGCAGCCATAACAACGTAGATATATATTACTTCATTATTATATTTAGCTTACTTTTTGGGTGTGAAATGACAACTCAAGGAACTGCTATCAATAGAAATAGCCCAATGATAGTCCAAATATAATCTGTACTTGAAACTTGATATAATAAAATAAATAAATATCTTACATACCATTTCTGATGACGGTTCTCGGAGTACAGATTCCCTGTTCATAGAGCATAGTACACCATCCTGCTGGTCATTTTCACTGGGACTTGTTCCATCATTCTCCCTTTGAACATTACCACCCTCAAGGACTTCACTAGGAGCAGTTTCAGGTTCTGCCAAAGGAAACTCTGTAGAAGGCATAGAACATGCAGCTATATCAGGTATTTGTTCCCTGTTCATAATGCATTGTACACTATCCTGCTGGTCATTTTCAGTGGGACTTGTTCCATCATTCACCCTTTGAACATTACCACCGTTGAGGACTTTACTAGGAGCAGTTTCAGGTTCTGCAAAAGGGACCGCAGGCATAGAACATGCAGCTGTATCAGGTATTTGTTCCCTGTTCATAGTGCATCGTACACTATCCTGCTGGCCATTTTCAATGGAACTTGTTCCATCATTCACCCTTTGAACATTGCCATCCTTGAGGACTTCACTAGGAGCAGCTTCAGGTTCAGCCAAAGGGACCTCTTCAGCAGGCGTAGAACATACATCTGTATCAGGTATTTGTTCCCTCTTCATAGTGCATAGTACACTATCCTGTGGTCATTTCTTAGGGACTTGTTCCATCATTCACCCTTTGAACAATACCACCTTCGAGGACTTCACTAGGAGCAGTTTCAGGTTCTACCAAAGGGACCTCTTCAGCAAGCATAGAACATGCAGCTGTATCAGGTATTTGTTCTTTGAACACAGGATTTCGTGCAGACATCACAGGAAGTTGCAATCTCAGATGCACTCTTTCGAATTTCTTCATCAGGCACATTCAATGTGGCATCACCAGGAATTTGTTTCTCAAATGAAAAATTAGCAGATATGATATTCTCTTGACCTTCAGTAGAACAGATAGCTTCAGGTCTACTCAAGAGAAGCTCACTGTCAGCAGTGTTTATTGTGGTTCCAACATGAATTTCTTCAGAGGAAGGTACCAAAAATGATGGCAAACTCTCATAACCTTCCACAGAACTGACAGTCTTAGGAGCTCCCAAATGAACCTCACCATCAAAATTGTTTAATGCAGCTCCATTAGGAATTCAAGAGAAGCTCACTGTCAGCAGTGTTTATTGTGGTTCCAACATGAATTTCTTCAGAGGAAGGTACCAAAAATGATGGCAAACCTCTCATAACCTTCCACAGAACTGACAGTCTTAGGAGATCCAAATGAACCTCACCATCAAAATTGTTTATGCAGCTCCATTAGGAATTTTTCAGATGAAAGTGCTTCTGCTGAGACAAGGTTCTCCTGACCTTCACCAGAATTGGCAACCACGATTCTCTCAAGGGAACAGGCGCATCCACTTTGGTTAAATTGGATTCATCATGAATTGCTACAGAAGAGATGCTTCTAACGAGACAAAGTTCTCTCGGCCTTCACTAGAAATGATAGTTCCTGATTCTCTCAAGTTCTCCCCATCAACCTTTCTATGTGCTTTTATCAGAAAAATTTCAGAAGATGGTGCTAGCAACGAGGGTGCTTCCATAGATACAAGATCTTCATGGCATCAGGTGACTTCAACTCGACATAAGCCCAGTGCTCAACTGATTCGACCCAACAGTCTTTCTTTCTTGAATTGGTTCTAGCTGCCACTTGCAGTGCCTCAAGATCCTTAAGATGTGTCTCCATCCACCGTTCTAGTTCATAAAAACTCCCTCGCATATCAGCGTCCAAATTCTTGAGCTTGCAAGTCCTTGTTGAGACATTATTATGCAAACGGATAACTGCCACTTCTGTTCTTTTTCTTATTCTCGAGTTGTGCTTTTTTTCCTCATACTTCTGGATAAATTGTTCCATTTCCTGCTTAATATTTGTTTTTTCATCAGCTTATCACACTTTTTCTGAATTTCTTTATGCTTTTTAGAACATCTCTCTCTGCCAATTGAATTTCTGGGGCAACACCAAACTCTGAAATGCTTCTTTGAAGGGATGACACCATTATCAACACTTCATAGAACTATACCAAATTTGAAGCAGAAAGTCATCCAAAATATCTCCAATCAATCCCTTCCAGAACCACCAATGTACTGCCAATCAAACATCTACATCAGAAACATTAAATATGTATATATAGTTTGGCCTGACAGGAGTTCATCAAAATGCAGCTGAAAATACAAGTTTTCCAACGGCTGTATTAAAATTCCCACTGAATTCGTCAATAATTTTCTCATTGCAGCTTTCCTTGCAATGCCAAATTAGGATTTCAACTTTAGCCTCTAGAAGCTCATGTTCAACTTGTGCAAAATATAAATTTCATGCTCAAACCTAGTTTGTCACTTCAGCTTCTAGGAGCAGGAAGCTGCTCCAATAGGCAACAACTACAACTACGTTTTTACATGTTCAACAAGCATCAAACTTTTTTTCTTTCTGCCACCTGTCAAAGCTGCAAGATGGTGTGCAGATATAAAACTTGAACTTATTTTTATTTTTTAGGAAAGGAGGCTCATTAAAAAAAAACCCCGAACTAACATAACTTGGCTACACCACAGCCCCACTCAGCCTATTCCCTCATATGCCAACTTATCAGCCTCCCAATTAGCCCCTTGGAAATATGCAAAATCTTCAAATCCTTGTCTCTAATTACTCAATAATTCATTCAACAGCGAACACTCAGACTTAGGACACCACCCAGGTTCTTTATCCACTTAACCACAACTAGGCAATCACTCTAAACAATTACCTCCCTTTACAACCCCATTGAGACTCAAAAAAAAGGTTCAATCCCCTTCTAATTGCCAACAATTCAGCAACTGTAGGCGGCCCCTGTCTAACTGCCTCAGAGAAGAACCCAACAGAATACCCTCTGAATCTTTAATAGTGCCTCCAATGCCCCCTTTCAACCAATCACCAGTGACAACACCCGTCCACGTTCAATTTAAAGAAACCAAAAGGAGGTGAACCCAAACAGAGATATACATCTTACTCCCCTGTCTGCACCTCATATCCGCAACAGAAGGATCCCCCATTGAACAATCGAAAGACAAGAGAAATCTGTGTGTTTTAGCAGAGAACCACCCCGTCTATCTAGTTTCGAAAAATATTAATCTGGTCCTTAGACCCCCCCTCAAACACTAACTTGTTCCTATATTTCCAAATAACCACATAACAGCACCCGGAATAAATTTCCAGATTTCTGATTTCTCGACCAACCCCCACCAAACGTGCAGAAAAAATCAGGAGCAAATGCAGAGGGGAACGAACATTCCAATAGCGCAAAAACCTGCACCACAACTCCATGATACAGAACAGGTAAGAACAAATGTGACACTGATTCAGGACGTAACCCGCATAACGGACAAAAACTGTCCACAATACCGGGAACATTCCTATTCAATAACTCACACTTAACAGCTAACTTCTGGAGCATAACCTGCCACAGGAAAGATTCCCCTAGGAGGAACAAGACCACTCCAAACCATTCTACCCCATTTATAATTAGTCCCCAACACCTCGTACCAGCCCTTAATACAGGGATCTAACCGAGAAAACCCCATCACCGCTTCCTTTCCATAATAACATCATCTCGCCTCTGATCAATACACAGAATCCAGTAAATGCAGTAATTCAATCAACATATCCCCTTCCCAATCCGCCAAGTTCCTCCTCAATTTAATATCCCAAACCCAAGTTGAAAAACAGAACGAACAGATAAAACATTCTGGGAACCTATCCTTTAAGGCCACCCTTCCAATCCAAACGTCATGCCAGAAAGAAATAGATTTCCCATCCCCAACTTCAACACCATCAAATTCCTAGCAGACTCACCCAACACTCCTCTTTCATCCAGCTTTGAACAACACACTTCCACAACCAAGAAGCATGGCTAGGAAACTTCTTCAATAAAATCATTACAATCCAAATTATATTTACAGCAAATCATATTTTTCCACCATGAATCCTTCTCATTAGAAAATTTCCACACCCATTTGCCTAATAGAGCTCTATTCATCAACTGCAGATTAGAAATACCCAACCCTCCATTTTCTTTTGGCAAACACACAGAAGGCCACCTAACCCAATGCAATTTTTTCCTTTCAGCCGACCCTCCCCAAAGAAACCTAGCCATAATGGAGTCAAATTCTTCAAAACCGATGCAGGAATTCTGAAAATGACAAAAAGTAAATAGGTAGCGAATTGAGCACCGACTTCACAAGCACACTCCTGCCAGCCAACGAGAGGGAGGAAGTTTTCCAACCGGCCAATTTGATTGAAATCTCCTAACCACCGGCTCCCAATGTAGCTGAATTCCTCTTAGCACCTAAGGAATTCCAAGATAATCCGATGGGAAAATACCCACAGAACACCCAATAGAACCAACCCACTCTTTTAACACTCCCTCATCCACATTAATACCAAAACCTTACTTTTAACAAGATGGATTTCAATTCCCGATAACATCTCAAAAATCAACAAAACTTTCAAACATTTTTCAACTGACCAATCGAAGCTCCACAGAAAATCAGTAAGTCATCAGCAAACTGTAATGAGAAAGATCAAAGGACTGACCCGGTTTCCCTATGGTAAAACCAGCAAACAAACCCAACTTGACAGCTTTGTACAATACAGCTAAGTAGTTCTCCAACCCAGATGAATAGCAAGGAGAGAGGGAACACCCTTGTCGTAGCCCTTTAGAAATCTTAAATTCCTCCGTGGGTGAACCATTAACTAACACTGAAACCAAAGCGGTCGATATACATTGTCGAACCCATGAACAACCATTTTTCGTCGAACCCATTAGATCCATAACTTTTAAAGTAGTGACCAATCAACCGAATCATAAGCTTTCCTGAAATCAACTTTGAAAGCAAAACCCGCTAACCCTTTCCTCCTCCAATATTCAATACATTCGTTCGCAATAAAGAAGAGTCCAAAATCTGCCTACCCGAAATGAAAGTGAACTGTGTAGACCTAATTAATAATTCCATACACCCTCTGAGTCTTCCGGCTAACGTCTTCGAAAGAATTTTATATAGACCCCCTACAAGACTAATCGGACGAAAATCATCAATATATTCTGGACCCAACTTCTTAGAATCAACGTAATGAAGGAGTGATTAATCCCTCTCTCCCACTGTTTTCCAGCATAAAAAATCTTTACAAAATCTCATTACAACATCCTTAATATCTG